GGGGGCGGAACCCAGCTGGTTCACCCACACACATTCTGGCCCTGGTAGCAGCTACCCAGGGAGGGACCAGATGCTAGTTCTGAGGGCAGGAGCAGGCATCAAGGAACAGCGTGGTGGAGTCAACAGCTTTGACCTGGGTCCTCTTCTGTGTTTGACATCCTGTCAAACCCTTGGAGTCTCCTATGGTGGAAAACAGACTCAGAACTTCATGGGCCTATTCATGGCACATGCTTCATGTTGGCGAGAGCACTGGCTCCCAGTCCTCCTGTGCCCTTGCGTTTGGTCCCAGCGCCTGTTCCTAAATCCCACCCAGACACACTGCTTCATTCCTCCCTCTCCTTCAGAGCTTCCAGGATGTCCTGAACCTTTGCCTGATGACTCATCTTCTAGCTCAGGATCTCACCTGAGCACTGTCACCTGACTATCCTGCCGGCTGGGCCTTGCCCTGGGGCATCTTGGACACTGGTCCTGGGACTTCCTGATTCAGCCCGTTGGGTTCTGAAGGCCAATTGTTTCTGACTTCCTGGGTTCACTGGCCCCGCTTTCAAGAGCAGCTTTTGGGACGCTGTTTCCTCATATTGTTCTGGTGAAACTGTCAAACATGCTTCTGCACACCCTCCCACCCATCAGGATGGATGCATGACCCAGGCTAATGCAACAAGAGCACTGCTTCCTCCTTAGAACTCCTGACTGATCCCAGGGAAGGGCTCTGGTCAAGCTGGACCAATCAGAGTTCTCCTAAGATGCCAGGAGAAAGGAGGGCTTTGTTTCTGCTTGGTTTGCACAATTGGGTCTGTCTGTAGCTGCTATGTTGCCTCCATGTCTACACAGGCTAGAATGAGATGCACAAGAGAAGGCAAGAGACAAGCCATGGGAAACAGCTCACACATGTGTGAGAGAGAAACAGAGACAAAGAGGCAGTCAGAGTGATGGAGAGAGAAAGTGTCCCAGAGAGACAGAAAGAGAGCTGAGTGGCTTTAAGTCACCATTTCAAGAACTTGAAACTCTGGTACCCATGTCTCTTCCTCTGACATAACTATTCCTCTGGGTCTGAGGGCGGAGGGGGCTTGGCGACTGGACTCTTGAGTTTCACAGGAGGGGTCTGGGGGCCTTGCTTCCTACTTTTTGTGAGAGAAGTGCCCCCAGCCTCCTCTGTGCAGGGAAGTGGTGGCTGCAGAGTGTCTGCCCTATGAGGAAGGGTGGGGAGTGGGGACCAGGGAGACTCAAGATGGAGATGAGATGAGCAGAGGAAGGATCTGGAGTATGTTGGCCAGAAGGGAATTCTTGGCAGAAACTGGAAAGACAGGTATGAGTGGGAAGTCCTGGGCTGGAGAAGATCCCTCTGTCAGCAGAGTCTGAGGTATGACTGCCCAGGGAGCCCGAGAGCAGCAGTCCGGTCAGTGGGGTCAGGCTCTTAGTCACAGGGCCTCCTCCCTTCTCCCTCCTCCCTTCCGGAGGCTGCTCCCCGCCTCCTTTGAGAATAGGAGCCCACCTACCCAGGTTTCCTCCCATCTTCCCCTCCCACTAGGCATGCTGGGTACTCACTTTGGCTGGCCCTTGTGGGACCCCGGTGTCCCCACTACTTGCCAGCCTTACCTTTCCTGAAAACCTCCTCCCTCTGCCCTAGTTTGTCACTTGTGAGATGCTCAGGACAACTTCACATCCCTTCACTCCCTGATGAAGTAAGCATTTCTCTCCTCCCTCCCTTCATCCTTCTCTACCTTCAGTGTTTTTTCTCTCTCTCCCTCCCCCACCCCTATTTTATGGATGGGGACAACTGAGATCTGGAAAATGGAGAGGAACACACACTGAACAGGGGGAAAGGCATTGTGAGGGCTCAAAATCAGATGCATTTTTCTTTCCCATCTCCCTCTGTGAGGGTCTCCTCTCCCCAACCTTAGCTCCTCAGAGATTCCCACCTGTATTTTCCACGTTGTAAAAGTGCACAGTCACAGAAAGGGAAATGGAAGGAGAGAGGCACCCCACGAATACCACCACATGCAGTTTGGTACATGCTCTTTCAGANCCACATGCAGTTTGGTACATGCTCTTTCAGATTTTATTCTGTGAATATTTCATTTACAGGACGAGGATCACATGCATATACATTTTTGGATCTTTCTTTCTTCACTTAACATCAGATAGCATAAACATTCCTGCATGACATTAACGACTCTGCATAATTATCATCCTGAACAGCTTCATCAATATTCTTGTCACAAATCAGTTTGTGGTTTACATAAACAATCCGTGATATTGGGGACATGCTCAGTGTTTCCACTATTTTGCTATGACAAATACTGTGTTGAGTTCAAACCTTGTTCCATGTTTTGGAGTTACTAGAATTACTGAGTCAAAGATGGTGAATAAACATCTGTATTCACCTTGCTCAACTGACTTTTGTAAAAATTGTATCAATATAAAATTCCAGTGGTTGATACTGCTGGTTTCACTGCATCTTTACTAGAACTGATATTTGTGTTTCTTGCTTTGGTGGGTATCAGATTTTTTTTGGTTTGGTTTTTTGTTTTCTAATTTAATTGGTTTACACATATGTCATATTGTTGAGGTTTTAGTGAGTTTTTGAGGAAAGGTAAAGTCAAATATGACTGTAGGTCATCGACGTCGTTATTTCTGTGAATTTCCCATTCAAGGCGAACCGATGGAGAGATGGGAGTTTGGATAGATTAGCGATTCTTTCTCATGGTCTCATTTATCCAGTTAATATACTTGCAGACCTGGGTATAGACACCTGGGTCGTTGGGTTGGCCACAAGGGAAAGTTCCCCAGGATACCAGGCCTTGTAGGTTGCCTTTGCACATCAGTGGTCCCCCTGAGTCACCCTGAAGGAAAGAGAACAGATTAGCTTTGGCGGCATGCCAACCAGCCCTGAGGTCACATACACCCCTCAGTTATCAAGTCTTTGTCCTGCCAGACTGACCAATGGGAAGAGACTCATTGTCTCTGTAGACTAATGGGAGAGCAGGAATTAATACTGTCATGGAGAGGACAAACCAGGTTCTCTTAAGACAATGGCTGGAACCCTCACCAATGGGATGAATCACAGGGTGGGGGCGGAGCTTCTAGAAGTGAGAGCCCCATTTCTTTTCCCTCATGAAGGACTCAGAGCCAAGCCAGTGGGAGGATACATGCCCCTTAGCCAGGAGAGGGGGACAGGGCAATCCTGCCAACCAGGGGCAGGACCAATGACCTGATTCACAAAACTCAGTGCATAACAAAAATGCAGGCCCCCTTGTTTAAAAATTATGAATTTCAAGACAGCAATAGGAGTGAGTTAAAGCAAGTGTGGGACTGTCCCAAGTGTGGGGCTCCGTGTCCTTGCACACCTTGTGCATTCATGAAGCAGGTCTTCACTAGGGGACAAGGGACACCTCCCCCATTCTCTAGGACACAGAGTCCTGTCCCATCACCCCTCTCCCTAACACACACCACACCACAGGGCTTGAAAGTGAGGGTACAGATGTGAGCAAAGAGAGTGGGGGTACAGAGAGGAACAGGACCAAAGAGAAGGGGAAGAGAGAGGTAGAGAGAAGGATGGAGAGAGCAAAGGGGATGGAGGAGGGGGCAGAGAAGCAGAAATGTAGGGAGTGGGGAAAGAGGCAGAGATNTTGACAAATATCTTCTCCCATTCAGTAGGCTTCCTTTTTGTTTTATTGATGGTTTCTTTTGTTGTGAAAAAACTTTTAAGTTTGATGTAATCCCATAAATTCATTTTTTCTTTTACTTCCCTTTCCCACGGGGATGTATCAGTAAAAATATTGCTCAGGGTAATGTCTGCAAATTTAGATCCTATATTTTCATCTAGGAGTTTTATGGTTTCAGATCTTACATTTAAGTCTTTAATTCATTTTGAATTTGTTCTTGTATATGGCGTAAGGAGGTGGTCCAGTTTCATTTTTTTGCATGTGTCAGTCCAATTTTCCCAGCACCATTTATTAAATAGACTATCTTTACCCTAATGTAAATTCTTGCTTCCCTTGTCATAGACTAACTGCCCGTATATGCCTGGATTTATTTCTGGGCTCTCTATTCTGTTCCATTGATCTATATGCCTGTTTTTATGCCAGTACCATACTGTTTTGGTTACTGTAGCCTTGTAGTATGTTCTAATGTCTGGATACATGATCCTCCCGACTTTGTTCTTATTTCTCAGTATTGCCATGTCTATTTGGGGTCTTTTTTGGTTCCATATAAATTTTAGGATTATATTTTCTATTTCTGTGAAAAATACCCTAGGTAGTTAGATAGGAATTGCATTGAATCTGTATATTGCTTTAGGCACTATGGACATTTTAACTATATAAATTATTCCTACCCATGAGCATGGAAAGTTTTTCCATTTGTTTGTATCTTCTTTTATTTCTTCAGTTTCTTACAGTTTTCAGAGTACAGGTCTTTTACTTCTTTGGTTAAATTTATTCCTAAGTGTTTTATAGTTCTTGAAGCGATTGTAAAC